GAGGAAGGAAAAGTGCACAAGGAGAACCCTTCCTGGGCTGAGGTTGCAGGAAGTCAAAGAACTTGGCCTCAGGCGCTGGCATCATGCCTTCCTTGTATCCTAAGGGAGGATGGGTCATCCTGGCACTCCTAAGGCCTCGGATGCCCTGCAGTTACCTTTCAGTCATGACGCCTCATCCATTACAAAATTTCCCAGAAGGGAAGTGAGGTTGCAGGTGGAGCCTGTGGTTGGGAGGCACAGAAATGGGAAGGGGGACCAAAGTTCATTAGATGAAACCAAGTTCACGGATCAGGAGGATTATGTAACCTTTAAAGGCCAGACAGGAATTGCCTGGGAACTTGGAGGTGAGCGGGTACCCCTGTTTGGGAAAGAAGCGGAAGCCCTTCAGAGTGTTCTGGGGCGCAGCGGTCCGAGGACCATGGTAAGTGTAAAGCCTGGGACAGATTGACTAAACGTGGAACCTGAGAGGCATGCTCAGGCCGCCCCACCCCTTCTTTCTCTCCAGGAATTCCCGCCTGGCTTTTTGCTGCTGCTGCTGCTGCCACTGCTGTGTGCTGCCTCGGCGGTCCTGCCGGAGCCCGAGTTTGAGACAGAGCCCTGCGAGCTGGATGATGACGATTACCTCTGTGTCTGCAACTTCTCGGGTTCAGAGCCCTACTGGGCCAGCGGCTACCAATGTATGGCTGCCGTAGCAGTGGAGATCCGTGGTGGCGGTCACAATCTTGAGAAGTTTCTAGAGGTCGCTGATACGGACCCGGGGCAGTACGCTGACATGGTCAAGGCTCTGCGCGTTCGGCGACTGACGGTGGGCGCCGCCCGGGTGCCGGCCCGGCTCCTGTTTGCGGTCCTGCGTGCGCTGGGCTACTCCCGCCTCGAAGAACTGACGCTCGAGGACCTGGAGGTCACGGGCACGGCTCTGCCGCCGCTTCTGGAAGCCACGGGGCCTGCGCTCTCCACCCTCCGCCTCCGCAACGTGTCGTGGGCCGCGGGGGGCGCCTGGCTGGCCGAGCTGCAGCGGCGGCTCAAGCCGAACCTCAAGGTGCTGAGCGTGACGCAAGCACACCCGATTGCTTTCTCCTGCGAGCAGCTGGGCGCCTTCCCGGCCCTCACCACCTTGGACTTGTCGGACAACCCGGGGCTGGGCGAGCGCGGGCTGCCCGCCGCCCTGTGTCCGCACAAGTTCCCGGCGCTCCAGGTGCTGCAGCTGCGCCACTCGGGGATGGAGACGCCGAGCGGCGTGTGCGCGGCGCTGGCGGCGACGGCCGTGCAGCCGCAGCACCTGGACCTCAGCCGGAACGCGCTGCGCCCCGCGGCCAGCCCAGGCGCCCCCCCGTGCGTGTGGCCCAGCACGTTGAGCTCTCTCAGCTTGGCCTTCGCGGGACTGGAGCAGGTGCCCAAGGGCCTGCCGGCCAAGCTCAGCCGCCTGGATCTCAGCTGCAACCGCTTGAACAGAGCGCCGCGGCCAGATGAGCTGCCGCAGGTGGAACACCTGACACTGGCTGGGAATCCCTTCCTGGGCCCTGGCGCCACCAAGCCCCGTGAGGGCCCGCAGACCTCAGGAGCCACCGGAGTCTGTGGGCGCTCGCCGCCCGCGTAAGGCTGCCAGGCCGTCTCGTGCTGCTCCCAGGACCCCGAGGCTTCACCGAAGGCCTACGAGAGAAAAAGGTCAATGTTGAGTGGGCTCACGCTGACCTGCCAAGACTGCTAGACAAAACGAACGCTTGCCCTTCTTTTATTAAATTCTCAAACAGCGACTTGGTATCATTTTTTCAATCGATCTTTCAGTCTGGGAAACGCGCACCGGCAGTTCTACCCGGTCCTATAGGGTCGCTGTGAGTCGTAGGCGGCTCGATGGTCGCTCTGAGTAGTGGACTCGATGGTAGAGAGGCTTTTTGCTTTGGGGTTTTTTCTTTTTTCTAGGAATGTGATGTGAGATGGGCCTGGAATACAGCATTTTCTTCATTCTAACTTACTTCATGTAGGAAAGGACTGGAGGAGCAGATGGGACAAGGGGAATGTCACTTGGGTGAGGGGTGTGTGCAGGAAGCAATGCTTCATTGGCTGTCTGCAAAGTTAGGGCTTTCTGAGCACCTCGATGCTAGCACCTGGATTTGCTGCTTGAATGGTAGCAGTTCCTGGAAGATACAGGTTGTGTCCTCTCTGGTGCATTCCCAAAACCATCTGCTCCCATTCAAGGTCACAAAACCCAGAGCTATTTGCCCACAGACATACACTTAGTCTCTCTCTCCCTGTCCCCCATGGGAGGAGGAGCATATAAAATCTGACTCAAAATTTCAGTAGTCCCTCCTATGGGCTTTGTTGCTTCTGAGCTAGATGGCCGCTTGTTTACCTTCAAGCCTTTAAGACTCCAGACACTATAGCTTTTGATAGCTGGGCTCCATCAGCTTTCTTCACCACATTTGCTTATGCACCCACTTTGTCTTCAGCAATTGTGTCGGGAAGGTGAGCCTCATGGAATGCCAGTTTAATAGAACCAAGAATTCTTGCATTGAGGGAGTACTTGAGTGAAGGCCCAATGTCCATCTGCTACCTTAATACTAAACCTATAAATATATGCACATAAATCTATTTCCCCATTCTCATATATAAATATATTTACATTTGTACATGCCTTTATTTAGACCCCTATAAATGCCCTTTGCCTCCTAGCTCTTCCTCTACTTCCTTTTACTTTCCTCTTGTCCCTCCATCATGCTCACCCTTCATTTGGGTTACAGTAATTCCTCTCAGTTACATTACCCTTGATCACGCCCTACCAGGACTCCTACACCTCCTCACCACCAGTTTGGATCACTTGTTATTCCCTTGTCCCTGAGTTTGTTAATGCCACTTCCTTCCCGCCCCCACCTCCCCTTCTTCCATGTCCCCCCTGTAACTTCTTTACAGGAGTAAAAATCCTCATCTTTCTTCCTCAGAGCAACTGGTGGGTTTGAACTACTGACTTTGCAATTAGCAGCAGCAGCACTGCACAGTTTTCATGAGTCTGAAGAGGACTTTGTAGATTGGTATCAGACATAGGGGCTAATATTGGACTTAGGGATTTGATCTGGACTGGGCTGAGATGTTTTCTCAATATTCACTTGCTTTTGTATATAAAGCTCTTTCCCATACACATATGAGTGTCTATGAATTTGTTTCTCTATCACCTGATTGGCAGGCTAGACTCTACCCCTTCACTCTGAATCCTCTCAATTTGAAAAACGATTATATGACTAACATAAACACTCTGACCCATCTGAAATATTATGTTAAAGTATGTGTTCATTGCCACCCTTCAACCAGAATGTGAACTCCATAAGAGCGGGGATCACTGCTGTAATCTCAGGGCTTAGCATAGTGCTTGGCCTGGCATGCAGTAGATGCTTGGATGAATGAATGTCCCCAGCCTCCCCTCATCAGAACCCCTAACTATACCACACTAGTTACAATTCCCAGGTCTCCTCATATGCTTCCAGGGTCTTGAAACATGCTCTCCCATTTTCTTGGGATATCCTTGCTATAGAATTTGTATTTGTTTTTCATGGGAAAATACAATGTCTCATTTTCTGTAAAATCTTTATAGATTCTCCTTTCCATTGAATCACCAAAAGCAAACACATTTTTTGTCTTGTGATGTTGGTTTCAATCCCTTTGATGTAACAGCATTCTTCCTCCTCCTCCTTTGGTTCCCCATTTCAATTCTCCCTTCTTTCCTGCACCTTCATGTCTTCTGAACTTTGTTTTTGGAAAGTTCCCTTTGAGTCTCATACCGTTGATTGGGGTGAGGAGTACCTTCCTGCCTGATGTTAGTATTCATTTGATACATCTTTCTCTTGTTTGGCTGAAAGTTGATCCCAAGGGCTCAGTTATAGTCTTGAGGGTTCTACTAGTCGCTATCAGGCCAGTATGTCTCCTCTTTTTAATGTTTTCAAATATTGCTCTACTTTCTGACCAGGACTTTCTATTGTGGGCCCCATCTGAGTGGTCAATAGCGGTAGTCTGTAGGGGTACTAGCTAGTCTTCTGGTCTCTGAGTGGTCAAGACCGTGAGTCATTAGTTCTTTGGACTGTTTCCTTGAGTCTTTGATTTTCTTCCATCTTTTATACTTCAAATGGAGAGAGACCAAAAGTTACATCTTGGTTGCTCACAAATTTTTAAGAGCCCAGTCGCTACTCACCAAAGTAGACTGTAGAGCATTGTGATTGTGGAATATGTTATGCCAGTTAATCTAGATATTTCCCAAGATGCAGCAACATCTCTATCACATTTTGACCACCCCCAAAAATCATCTGCAAGGGATTACAACTAAAAAAAAAAAATTCCTTTGCCCTAGAACACTTGAGAAGCATTGTTCCTGAAGAGCTTAGTAAGCAGTTTTAGCTCTGGCATGAAGGGATGTTGGCAGCCTCTTCTCTGAGCAGAGAAGAGAAAATAAGGACATCTTCTGAAGAGAGTTTGAGGCTATAATGCAGGGAAAAGGGGGTCAATAAAGGAAGTGCCTGCCAATGAGGTACAAGAGTTCCTTTAGAGATGATAACATTATTTTTAAATTAGATAGGGTCGATGGTTGCACAACTTTGTGAATCTACTAAAACTCACTAACTCATACATTTAAAAGGAGGAATTAGATTACAATAAAGTTGTTATCTGTTACTAAATGAGAAGCAGAGAGAAATGTTAGATAAGGAAAGATGCAGGTCAAGTGGGAGGAAGTAGCCATATAATGTATGTATTTTGGAAGGAGTGCAAAACGTATTCGGACTTCTGAGCGGTGAGCTGTAAGGGAAAGAATTTTGAGATTAGGCCATGAGAATAATTCAGCAATGAACATTAGTAGGCATATGTCTTTTGTGTCAGGTATATCCCTTGGATACATACCAAGTGAGATCATATAGTATTTCTATTTGGATTATAAAGTATTTCTAATGCTGGCCATTTGAGGAAGTGCCACACCATTTTCCACTGTGGCGGTACCGCTTTACACTCCCATCAGCAATGTATTAGCACTCCAATCTCTTGCCAGAATGTGTTGCTTTCTGGCTTTTTTTAGGTCATGAAATTGGATGAGATCACTAGGAAGCAAGTGTAGATTTCTTTTTTAAAAGGACCAAAGATTGACAACACAACTACATTAAGAGGTCATAAAACATGAGATGGAATCATCAAAGGAGATTAAAAAGAAAAAAGAAAAAAAGAATGGCTTGTGAAACAGGAGAAATCCCAGAAGAGTGAAATGTCCTGGAGGCCAATTGAAGAAACTGACTCCACCGAAGAGGGCAAGATGTCTTTGGTCTAAAGTTGTTGAGGTCAAAGGAACACTGAATTGAGCAGAGTTGTCCTTGAGAACAGTAGTTCCAGACAGTGCGGAGGACAGAGACCTATTTGGATTAGTTTGAGAGAAAGAGAGAGCAGTTTTAGAAAATGAGAATGGAAAATTCTTTCAAATAATTTTGCTTAAAGGGAAGCAAGAAATTAGGGCATTTAGTGAGGTTCAGACAGTCTTTTAAAGTTTGTTGGTTTTAAGATAAGAGGGGAAAAAAAGATGAGAGAAATAATAATGGCTGTAAGGAGATCGACATACTCGAGCACAAGCCAAGATTTTCCGCACATTTTAAATGCTGTTTTTGTTGCAAAATTAGGTGCTTCGGTGGATATTCGGCTTGGTTTAAACTTGAGTATATATGGTAATTCAACAGAAAAGGAAAACTTGATTCAGGAGAAAGAAGGGGGTTTTTCCATTTGACTGAGTTTACTCGAGGAGGCAAAAAGGACTGGAATCTCGTTCACTAGTGATGTCAAGGTATTAATTAGTCTTAATACAAGAACACAAACAGTCAACTTATAGTTCCAGGCTAGAAGGCAGACTATCTTAGCTACCTAATGCAGCTCTACCAGAAATACCACAAATAGATGGCTTTAACAAATGTATTCTCGCAGAGTTTAGGTTGCTAACTCTCAGGGAGACTTTCCGTCTGTTGGCTTTAGAGGAAGACCCTTGCTTCCTTTCACCATCTGTGGATGTGGGATTCCTTGGAGAGCTGGCATCAACATGTCTGGCATCAATCTTCCCCTGGGTTTAGGAGATCCTCAGAGCAAAGGTCCAAGCCTACTTCCAGCTCTCCTATTACATACAACATGTCGTTTTATTTCTGCATAGTATTTATCTCAACCATAGACCCTGAATGGTACAAATGATTAATGTGCTCAGCTGCTAACAAAATGGTTAGAGATTCAAGTCCACCCAGAGGAACCTTGTAAGAATGGCATAATGATTTACCATATATACTCGAGTATAAGCCGACCCTAATTTCCGCTGAGGCACCTAATTTCACCACAAAAACTGCATTTGAAGTGTGCTGACAAACTTGGTGTATACTGGAGTATATATGGTACATTTGATAAATCAGCCACTGAAAGCACTATGGAGGACAGTTCTAGTCTGACATACATCGAGTTCCCACATTAACTTGATGGCAACTGGCATTTATATTTGCATTTGTTTACTGTTGAGCTCAAAGCTTCATGCATAGGAATCGTGTTAGTCTTTTTCAGTTGTGAGCCTCCGGAGTTAAAACCGTTTTTTGGTACATTGTGGTGCTCCATAAACTTTAACGATTGCTTGAATGGCTAAGAGGAGTGGACAGAAGTCTTAGTATTGCTCACATTAGGAAAGTGAGAAAATATTATCTCCCATTTTAATTGTTTAAGGGTAAACACACACACACTTAGTCTTAGTCAAAAGGCCAAGAAGCAT